CTCCTGGGGCTGGGCGGCCCGGAACTGGGCCTGGGGATGGTGGTGGTCCCCTCCCCCGTTCCTCCACTCGGCTCCGGCTCCATCTCCCGCTTTTACCAGGTAGAGGCCTCCCTTCAGAACTGATTCGCTTTTCCCAAAGGCCCCGCCAGCAGGTGGCGGGCAGCACCTGCCAGAAACGCCCGCTTGCTCTGGCCACTCAGATGGACAGGCATCGCTGCGGCCGTGGCCGTGTCGTTGGGGACAGTGTGAGGGGCAGGCGGGGGGGGGGCAGGGGGCTCCCCGTTCTTTTTTTTTTTCCTTCTTTTTTTTTTTTTTTTTTGGTGATTGAGAGCACATTCATTACAGCTGCGACCGTGAGACAAGGAAAGGCTAGGATAGCAGAGGCCACAGGCAGTGTAGGCAGGGCCCTGCTCTGGCCCTAGAGATGTTACAGGAATAAGTGAGCCAGGCTGGGCTGCGGGGGCTCGCTGAGCAGTAAAATCACAGCCACAGAAGTGGCCCCGGGGGCTGCTGTGGCTCCTGGCAAAGCCTCAGCTGGAAGCAGCCGGAGAGGGACTCGGCGGGGCTTTGGCTCAGGAATGTTACAGCAAAGGAGCCGCGACAGGGCAGCTGGCCGTGCACTGAGAGGTCAGGGCAAAGGCGACCCTGGAGACAGGGTCAGAGGGGAGCCCAGGGGCGGGGAGCCCAGGGCAAGTCGCTGCTCGCTGCTCCCCTGCTTATAAGTCTCCTGGGGGCCCCGAGAGAGGAAAGTGACGGTGTGGTGTCCCGTGGTCAAGCAGCGTCCAGGGCGGAGCCACGGGCCACCCGGCGTGGGCTCTCAGATGACCTGGGCCCTGGCGCTGGGGCCGTGGAGCCGCCTCAGGGTCTGCCAGTGGCTGGCACAGGGGAGTTCCTCCATTTATTTTTAAAATATATTTTTATTGCTTTCAGAGAGGAAGAGAGGAGAGATGGAAACATCAATGATGAGGAAGAATCATCGATCGGCTGCCTCCTGCACGCCCTCTATGGAAGATTGCACCCACAACTTGGGCCTGTGCCTGTGACCAGAATCGAACCTGGGACCCTTCCATCCACAGGCTGAAGCTCTATCCATTAAGCCACACCGGCCAGGGCGGGAGTCCCCCCATTGAGAAGAAATAAAAAAGAAGGTAAAGACGCTCTCCTGAGAGGGAAGACGTGGGATGGCCATGCCCCATTGAGAGCCGGCCCACACTCGTGTGTCTGGCCCCGGGGGCACACGCTCCGATGGCCGTGGAGCAGGGACCCTGTCAGGTGGGAGGGGCGAGGACAGCGTGAGGGGAAGCCAGCACGACGTCACCCTCACCCCAGCGGTTCAAGCAGGAGACCAGTGGTTCGCGAGGGAGGGACCTTCCCCTGACAACGCCCGGGGACACGTGGTCTGAGCTGTAACAGAACCAGACCAACAGCAGGCTTCACAGGAGCCCGTCATTCACCAGCTGAGACCATAGGGGGTGGGGGAGGCTCCAGAGCCGAAGAGGCCCAGCCCACGGAATGGGCCCAGGACCCCCGTCTGGGCTCCTGGGAAACGCAGACAGAACCGGTCTCTGTGGTGAAGGAGAAGGAACCATGAATGTGGGAACGGGACGGAGGCTCCGTGTAAGCCAACGCCACACACGCTTCTGTCAGAAAGCGATTCTGAAGTTGGCCCCACAGGAGGCGTTCAGGCCCCGGGATTGCCACGCGCACTGTTCTCAATGAAAAACGAAGGAAGACAGAAGTACTCCTGTCACATGGCAACTGGCCAGTAAAAATCCCACAGAAGGGACACTGGGACGCGGCTGAGAGGAGGGCAAGCAATGAAAGTGTGCGAGGAGGCGACAGGCAGGTGTGTATGAGCGGTTGCAGAAATGGCGACACGTGCTGTGACAGAAAACTCTGATGCTAACGCATGACCCCCTGGACCCTGCCGACGGGGCACCCCTGTGCTGGAGGGTTGTGAAAAGTGTTGAGCATTTTAAAGGTGAACAAAACCATTCATTACAACATACACCATTTTAAGTGTAGGTTGTTTTCTTTCTGTTGTACGGAAGTGTGATCAGGAATAGTTTAAGCCTTACTTCATGTTTCAGGCCTTTTAGTGGGATGAAGTCGGGGAGAGAGAAAAGAGGAAGTGTATGAAACACACTTCCTCTGGCAACGAGGGACGCACAATGGCGCGGAGCCGGTCCAGGGGCTTACACAGGTGATGTCTTTAATTTTTAAGAAGAAAAAGGGAAAAGAAGTGCTGAGGTGTGAGGACCCTTCTCCACTAGGTGGCGGTGTTGGCCCAGAACAGTTTGGTTGCTGTTGAGTGTGGTGAAGTACAGCCAGGGGGCCACGGGGCCAGTTACAGTTTGGGCACATGGGGGAGGGGGAGAAAGAGAGAGAAACACAAGGACCTGTGGGCCCATTTGTGTAAATACGTGGGCAGGCAGCGCATCCACACACACACCACCTGTCGCCCTGAAGCTCCAGGGCTGACATGGAGACGTTTCTCACACGGACGTCTTCACCCAAGGACCTGCCTGGACGCTCCTCCTGCTCGAGCCTGCACGCCCCCGAGTCAGCGACGTGCTGAGGTTGTGTTATCTCACTCGGAGGTGCCCGGACCTCCTGATGTCGCAGGCGTGTGACCGTTCACCTCTACACTCACATGAGCTCCCTGTCCCCGCACTGACTGTCTCTCACAGTCGCAGAAGCACACACGCACAGGCACACACATGTGTAAACATCTTATACGCATGTGTGTCTGTCCCACAGAAGTAAACATCAGGCTGGTGTCGGAAAGCTGGGCCAAAGGAGCATTCGTAAGAGAAAGCCCGCTGTACCCTTGTGAACTGGAAGGGCAGCCAGTAGGGGCTGTGAGGGAAGGTCCGATATGATCACCCTTTAGGAACCTAACAGTTTCTGATAACAGAATGCTGGGACCTCGCTGC